AAACCGTACATAATTCTGCCTCATCAAAAAAACCTGTGAAAAATGTTAAAGGCTGCTAAATACTAAATAATATTGACGTTATTTATATACAAAACCTCTAATAAACTTTATGCACCATTACGCAATTCTCAGAATAACAACTCTCTAGACTGTGTTTACAAATTAGCATGCATATGCGGAAAATATTACACGGGAAACAGGAAATACCGTCACTCAAAAGACCATCCTGTCAAGCAGAAAATGGATGATCGATCGTGGACGAAGGAAGAAAGCAGCCTCTTCAACAGAAAAATCAAGTTACAATATGAAACGATTTCTCGGATTGCACAGCATCCGGCACAGCATGGCACCTGAGGGTCAGGGTGTATCGGCATTATTATATAAAGACGCTGAATAACAGGCGCGTCAAGAAGGCATAAATCTTCCAGTCCTGCTACTACTCAACCGTAGCAAAAGATATGAACTCTGCTCGGATTGAATCAGTCCTGTTGTCCCTGTCCCACAGAAACAATTTAACCAGTGGTACGAACAAAAACCAAATCTTCTTGTTCCTCACGTACCAGCCGCTGCTAACAAAGAAGGGCTTCAGAAATCAGTCAACCAATATACTGAAGAAAGCCCGTTAGACACGGGCCGAAATGTCGTCTACTAGTGAATCATCCGACTGAACACATATTTTTGTATTGGGAGTAAACATCGTTTTATGCTCCTCTTTAAAGTAAATAACTAAAAATTCCGCGAGCAAGTTCGACATCAGTTCTTAATGAGGACTTTCACTGCACAATCGTTATGATTATAATCATGGCTATTATCGTTACTATGATCAATATCAGCGGAATTACCATCACGACAATTATGATGGCAGTTAGACAAACAATCATGGTTGTGATAATTATAAATTATCATGAGAATGAATCGATTATAAGTTATGTCTTGACAACTGTCATGATATTAAACTAACGATTATGGTGTTTTCGATGACAAAAATAATCGTTAATCATCAATCACGACGATAACGATGCTTGTGACCACCATAATCCTTATTCTTATTATCATCATTGCAGTGATGACTGCGACGATCAATATGAACGCAATCACTATTATGATGACGGTGATCAGGATGGTAAAGATGATGAGAACGAATTACAACATCATGGGCATCACAACAGTGAACCATTAAGATCACACGACTTCCCCTTTCTACACCCCCCATCCACAACGAATGCTGCACCCTCTTTTATCACGCGGCTGTAAGAAATACTGTCCTGTTGTTTCTGATGTTTTGGTGATGACGGTAATGACAAAAATAAATATATATTATTACAGACCTGTTTATCATCACTCTCACCATCGTTCTGATCATTATAATTATGATATTATTATCATAACCTACTCTTAATAATAATCTTGCCAGCATCTCCGCTATCATTAGGAACAAACTGACCAGCATTATCAAAAAATACCACTGTAGGCTTGTCGATTAGAAAAAATAGTAATGAAAAGCATATATAATAATTACGATCCATAAAGAGTCAAGTATTACATATAGATCTGTGTCAAAAACGCCTAACGATATGTAAAGTCTTGACTGAGACGAGAAAAATAGAACACATCCCTTTAGCTTCATAACAAAGGAAAAAATTATCACAACAATTATATGAATGTTTGTCACAGATCTATCCAGCGAATACGTTAAGCCGACGGTTAATAACCGTCAACATGGCTTCTGTGTCTCCGACAACGGAAATTCTAATAATGGCCAATGCCAACGTTAAAATCAACGGAATTATTATAATATTTAAAAAATGAGCATGACAAAGTAATAAAACCAGGACAATAAAAAACAAGCTATTTCATCCATTTCCTTTTTGCATAAATTAAGTAAAGCTTAACAGTTTACATTATAAGTTTAGCATATTATGCATAAATGCCGGTCTTTAAAAATTTGCCATCACCATTACTGTACCGATACTTGAGCGACATACAACTTAGATGCTATTTTTCTTGGGTAATTCATGGAACTAGCGAATGGGATAATTGACTGAGCAGTTTGCTTGCGTAAGTTAGGAAGTTGGAAAATTAAAAGCTAAGAATATGCAAATAGAGTAAATAGCAAAAGGTTCTTCATCACCGAAATCTTCAAAGGGATTGATCAAACGTTAAATCTGATATATAAATTGGAGCTGGATCCATTCCAATGAAGCTATAAAATAACAACTACAGATATCTTTGATTCAAGAATAAAGAATTCAAGTAACCTCTAACTAAGGAATAAGTATAAGTACTGAATTTGAATTCCTTTCCAGCAATCTGAAATTTCGGGAAGTGGCATGTATTGAAAGTTGTCATTAAAACATAAGGAGTTGTGAATAATATAGGTAAAAAATTTTTCGTGGAATGTGTGAGCAGTAAACGCAGCGTAGTTGAGCAACGATTTCTGAGGAAACCAACGGGACGAAGTCTGAAACCCACAAGCGCACAAGCAAATTGCCAAGATATGGAAGAAACGCATTTCCATATTCAAAAACCGTTTCCTTACCTCCGTCCATATGTTTCATCGCTTTCTCCGCATCTTCTGCGTTCTCAAACTCGACGTAGGCAAAACCACGGCTGAGGTGAGAGTGAATGCGATCG